TCACGCCCAGCGGGGTTGTGTATGGTGGCCCAGGACTGCCATAAGAAAATGTTCTTTTTTGTTAAAATTTTTATTTTAAAAAATAATAATTAAAAACATTTAAATAAAAATAAAATAAAAACAAAATTAAAATAAAAATTAATTGCAACCATAGACAAATTTCCACTGCAAAATAACATCTCAGAATCCTTGTCAAACAACTCAGAGGTTGCTATCTCTGGGTCAAAAAGTGTGTGACCACTTCCTTGTATATCAAGGATAATAAGCTTCTTATCAGACCTTTCGTAAGAAAAATGAGCAAGGCAATGTGCCTTTTGGCACATATCATCTGATTGCTCAACACAAGAGATGCCATCGTTGTTAATATACTTGATAAATTTGCCATCAACATACTCTTCCACAGTAACACATTCATTACCATCGGTCATCCCAAAATATACTTTATTATACTGAAGAGATGGACCATACTGGCTATCCACTGATGATGCCATGACCCTCTTAAGTTGACGTGCGAAATTCCGTGCTAAAACATGCATCTGCACTGCTTTCTTTGTGTGTGCCTCAATGTTTTGATTCGTTTCTTGAATTAAAACCTTTGCTTCGGGCAAGTATCGCTTTACAACCCAAGTGGTATTAGCATACATAGGGTGTTGGGTTGTTGCTTTAAATGCTGTACGGAATCCCCCGGATCCCAGTTCCTGTTCATCAACAACAAATTCAACTGTGGTGGGGATTTTGTTCCAAGCCATCAACTCGATATTGAAGGAATGGAGAGTGATAACAGTCGTACTTTTCTTGTCTACAACCTTACCCATTTTTAACATAATATTTAACATAAGACTTTTAGGATAATATTGACTTGTAGCTGGCGAAACTTTGGGAGGTGAAGGTACTGCACCGCAGGATTTTGGGGGTTGTTTTCCTTTCACGTGTCGTTGGGTACCTTCGTCAGAGCTGTCACTGTTTATACCTTGATACATGTCGTTCTCATCACATTTCATAAAGCGAACATGAATCAGCTTAGTAATAATCTATATAATATATATAATTAGAATAATCTATATTTTTGTTCAGACAATTGCGTATAAATTTGATAATACACGAACTCGCTTGACTTTCAAAGATCATAAATCGCTATAATGTTGACATCGACTAAAACTATTGCTATGAATGAGGACATATTGTTACACTGAATCGAACGTGGTATTTTTGTCTTCATAGCATTGAATGAACCGAAGATATGAAACGTCAAAGCCGTATATTTGCACTGGTATAAATACGTGAGTTAGACAAATAATTAAAATATATAAAATACATTAAGATGGGCGGGACCATGCGGTGGGCGGAACTCATAATGTGTAGTTTTTCGGCAGGCGGTATTTCTAGCTTCTACCGCCTGCTACGCAGGCTACCAAAACCCTTATACCCATCCCTAACCCCTAACAATGTAATTTAATAATGTGCAACCCTAATACCATACTACCAGAACCCTTATACCTGTCCCTAACCCCTAACAATGTAATTTAATAATGTGCAACCCAAATACCATACTACCAGAACCCTTATACCTGTCCCTAACCCTAATCACTCTAAGGGCCTGTTCGTATGGGTAAAAGTTATCCCGTTAGTTATCCCTCTTATCGAGATCTCGCCTGTCAACAAGCGAGATCTCGGTGCACGGGAAAACTTTTTGTCTCATATGAACGCAGTGTAACTTTTCATATTATTTTCATACCAAGGCGAGATCTCGCTTGTAAACTTGTCGAAAAGTT